TTATTGTTGAGATTTAATCATTTAATGATCTAATTTAAGATTCTAACTTTTTATTTTCCTTGATTACTTATTGTTGTTCGACTAGAGTCTTTGAGAGTTTCTCTTGTAGTTATTTCATTAATATAGAAATAAAAATAATAAAATTAATAACTAATAATAAAAGATTTTTTGTACATTCAGCTTCTTTAACATCCTGCAATTTTTATTAGTATTACAAAATTTAATAATTTGTAAAAAAGAATGTTTTTTAAGAATTATTTTATCGCTGTAATATCGTTTACATAAAATCACATTCGTCTTGTTGTTTAGATTTATGCTTTAACAATATATTTAATATTTAAATGGACTTTGTATTCTTACAAGTTTTTTTTTATTCATTTATCAAATAACTTTAATTTAGAAAGGTGGATATAGATTAATGTCTAGCTACTATTTATTTTGGAGCCGTTTAACTTTTAATAACCTTTATTTATTAATCGTATTTTCATAAAACCATTATTTATATAGTTATTAAAAGCGTCCAGAAACCCCAAAATTAAATTCTAAACGCTTTGATTACCAAACAAAACTGAAATCCAAATCATAGATGAAGAGTTTGTAAGAAAAACACAAATCATCTTATTTCACTTTTATTTTGCATATTTCAAATCATGCTTGCTTTTCATTTAATTAATGAATTTTTCTCCTTAAATAGATTAAATGAGTATCGTATCTGTATATTGTGAATTTTGAACTTTATTAACAGTCTTTATAGTTTTCAATTTGATTAATTACTATGAATAAAATATATATTTTTTCTTTTGTTAATTTGCATCATTTTACATCAGTAGACTAATCTAAGTTCAGAATAAATTACTTTTGATAAATGGAATTTAGGAATTATTTACTTGTTCCTGATGATTCAGCATATTTCGTACTGAATTAGGTAGCTATCTCCTTCAGTTTATTTATTATACTTTACGTATTGATTTGGAAAAAATTTCTACCTAATAGGCTATTAATTTATTATTATATGATTCCTACAATCAAGAGCCTTTTAGTTCTGAAAATATAAGGGATTGTGATTTTTAACATGCTCAAGACCATTAAACTCCACATTAGACATAAAGAGCCTATTAATTAATTTGATATAAACCTCTCAAGATAACGATTGTTCAGCATTTATTTTATGAGAAAAACTACGAATAAAATCAACTCTTTGACCTTTTTCTTTAAGGTAATTCTCTTTCTCAAATCTTTAATAATAGATCTTTTAGGAAAGCGTCTTTGAAAATCAAACAAATCTGATTTCTTTGTAATTGGAATACTATTATTTGTTATTAAATTGATTTTATAAACTTTAAATTTTAACATTGTAATAGAAAAATTTTATTAGTAAAATACTTATTTTCGAAATTTAAGAAAAAATACCCAAACATTTAAGTGTGACTAATATAAAGGCTTTTTTATATATTTAAATAATTGATCGTCCAATTTATCTTAGGAGGTTGTTATAGAGAAGATAAATTTTATTAAGATTATCCATTATGTTTATCAAATAGCGATAGTTATTTCCTTTTTAATTCTATGCTTTCACATAGTAACTATTAAAGCATTCTCCAAGAATGCAGACTTTACTTCCTTGAGTTATTGCCTCCTTAATTTAGTCTTTAACTAAGGCTAATGTTTAGGTTTTAGTGGCTGAGATTGCATTTTAAATACAAGCTATTTTAAACTTTTTCAACATTAAATTCTATATTTAAATGATATAATATTTATAATATATTATGAATAAATATGTTTTAGGCCTTTCTCAGAGAAACTTAAGGATTAATTACAATTTTATATTTAGTTGTTAATAATGATAAGAGATGAATTTAATACTATGTTTATGGCTAATTTTATTTGAAGAAAAAATGTAAGAGAAAGTAATTTTACAAATATATCTATCAGTATATTCATAACTTCTATAATTAAATCCTATAATAAACAAAATTATTTAATTTCAAGTCTTCCAATTTTTCCATTTTTGATTGATCATTGTATGTTACTTAAGAATCACGATTAAAACTTTAGCGCTTTATTTAGTATTAATTGCATTTATTCTCAGTTAAGCTAAATTTCCCATCTTCCAACTTTTCCCATATCTCTTTTCACCAATTTTGATTGACAAAATCATTTTTTTTTGCATGACAAAAAATAATAAATGTGTGATAATTTTACAGTTTTTAATAAAGATTATAAAAAATGGTTTGGATTAAGGCTAATAGCAGGCATGGTCACGATAATTCAGAGAGCATGGCATGGCTGCAATACAAGTTATTTATCAATTTAGAAATATAANATTACTATGAATAAAATATATATTTTTTCTTTTGTTAATTTGCATCATTTTACATCAGTAGACTAATCTAAGTTCAGAATAAATTAATTGGAATACTATTATTTGTTATTAAATTGATTTTATAAACTTTAAATTTTAACATTGTAATAGAAAAATTTTATTAGTAAAATACTTATTTTCGAAATTTAAGAAAAAATACCCAAACATTTAAGTGTGACTAATATAAAGGCTTTTTTATATATTTAAATAATTGATCGTCCAATTTATCTTAGGAGGTTGTTATAGAGAAGATAAATTTTATTAAGATTATCCATTATGTTTATCAAATAGCGATAGTTATTTCCTTTTTAATTCTATGCTTTCACATAGTAACTATTAAAGCATTCTCCAAGAATGCAGACTTTACTTCCTTGAGTTATTGCCTCCTTAATTTAGTCTTTAACTAAGGCTAATGTTTAGGTTTTAGTGGCTGAGATTGCATTTTAAATACAAGCTATTTTAAACTTTTTCAACATTAAATTCTATATTTAAATGATATAATATTTATAATATATTATGAATAAATATGTTTTAGGCCTTTCTCAGAGAAACTTAAGGATTAATTACAATTTTATATTTAGTTGTTAATAATGATAAGAGATGAATTTAATACTATGTTTATGGCTAATTTTATTTGAAGAAAAAATGTAAGAGAAAGTAATTTTACAAATATATCTATCAGTATATTCATAACTTCTATAATTAAATCCTATAATAAACAAAATTATTTAATTTCAAGTCTTCCAATTTTTCCATTTTTGATTGATCATTGTATGTTACTTAAGAATCACGATTAAAACTTTAGCGCTTTATTTAGTATTAATTGCATTTATTCTCAGTTAAGCTAAATTTCCCATCTTCCAACTTTTCCCATATCTCTTTTCACCAATTTTGATTGACAAAATCATTTTTTTTTGCATGACAAAAAATAATAAATGTGTGATAATTTTACAGTTTTTAATAAAGATTATAAAAAATGGTTTGGATTAAGGCTAATAGCAGGCATGGTCACGATAATTCAGAGAGCATGGCATGGCTGCAATACAAGTTATTTATCAATTTAGAAATATAAATGATAATTTAGATAAGAGATTCATGAAAAGTGTAACTAAGAAAAAAAGGAAAATTTTTTATAATCTGAAGTAATAATAAAATCATTCTTCTCTTATGATTTAAGAAATATATCTCATTGTTTGTTTGTGATTTTAAATATTTTTAGATTTCTTTAGACAAATATCCAAAGTCTTCAATAAAAGTTTAGAGATATAACTGTTTATGAAATATTTATCTAAAAGTTTGAAAATGTTTATATTTATATATTACATGTTAATGAAAACCTATTAAAAAAAAATGAAGTTTTTCCATTTATATAATGAAATTATTATAGAAATTATTCAGATTAAGTCAAGTATCATTATTAAAATCTCCTTAGGTTTAAATGATCTTTTCTTATGCTTTTTTTCATCTTATGACTTTAATCTCAACCATTTCAAATAAGAGGGATGATGTACTCTTGATTGCTGTACTTTAATTGATTATTGTTAAAATACATTAGCATTTGTTAAAAAGTGCCTTATGAAACTCTGCTTTGATGTTACAATTTCCTCAATATAGAGTACTCATATGTAAATTATATTCTGCCTGTAGATTTTTATTATGATACTAGTTTACTAATAATATAAATATATTGGGCATAATTTTATAACTTTCAAGAATTGCAGATGATTGATTAAAAATATTAAGTTATTTAATACAAAAAAATATTGATCAAAATTTCATTTAAACTTCTTTAATAAAAGAAAAGAGTTATTAAGATTTAACAAGTCATATGTATTTAGATTTTATTGTACTTTTTATTAAAATCACCTAATTTTTCATTCAACCCAACTTTAATAAAGTCTCAAAAAATGATTTTATGATTGTCGAAATGTTGCAGGATTAGATCTCAAATTTCTATGAAAATTAATGGTTTATGAACCTTTAACTAAAATAAACTTTTTGTAAATTGTTCTGTTTTTTTTTTATTTTACCTAAAAAAAATAAAATAAACAGATAAAAGTTCTTAGGCATAGAAATTTTTGCTATAATGAAAAAGTCGAGTGAAGAAATAAAAGATGATATCATCAATTTAATAAGGTTTTTAATCAAATTGTAGAACTAGAAGAAGTTTTATAAAATAAAAAATATCTCTATTAAATGTTAATCTATATAAAAGATATTGATGAATCTAAGTATAAGGGTAACTTTAAATAATTAGAAGAGAGAGAGAGTTTCATACATCTTAGGATTTCTGACAAGCAATCAATATTTGATGAATCTTTTATAGAAAATAAGCAATATAAGCAAGAAATTAAAACAACTCTTAAATGTGTTTAGCATAACCTTATGAAAGGTCAAGATATGATTTAATAAATAAATACCAAAATAAGGAGATCATATCTAGTATTAAAATGAGCCAGAAAAGAAAATTTCATAGGTATTATGGGCTCGACTTGTTAGTATGTATGAGAGTTGTTTTGACAAAGCAATCTGTGGAAAATATTAGGATCAAGTATACTTCTTTGATTGGCGTAATTATTTTGGATACAATTTTAGTGGATCATAATTTTTTCAATAGATATTAGTGAATTTAATATGAATGGAACTTAAGTATTTAATTGGACATGATCAAATTTTAAAATTCATAAATTAAATAAATTCCATGGTCATAATAATAGTGTGTGATCAGTCTGTTTCTCTCCTGATGGAAATACATTAGCTTCTGGTAATAGAGATAACTCTATCCGTCTATGGGATGTCAAAAACAAGTATTGTTCAGATTATAGATTTAAAGAAATTTAGGTTTAAAATACAAGATATCCTTTTTTTAACACCCCTTTGCAGTAAAAGAATATTATTTAAAATTTAGATACATCTAATATTCTGGTTTACCCAGACTTCAATTTTGTATAGATTTGAGAGAGTTTTTTAAAAACAACCCTTTCCTTTTAAGAGAATTATTGGAGTACTGTTATTTTGGTATTATTCTTATCATAACCAAACATTTTCCCTCAATTTATATTTAGAATGTGAATTGTATAAGATTTATAAATTAGACTCTACAACTAAATCTTTCAGCATTTATCATTTTTAAGTTTTCTAATCTTCGTATTTCTTGAGAGTCAATATATTCTAATATTTAATTTCATAAATTAATAATTTTCTCAACTCAGATTTAATTAACAGTAAAACTATTATTTTTTATAATGATTGATTTTATAAACTTTAAATTGTAATAATGTTATTGAAAAATTTATTTAGGAAATTTAAGAGAAAATACTCATGCATTTAAGTGTGACTAATATGAATGCTTTTTATATATTTAAATAATTTATCGTTCAATTTATCTTAGGAGATTGTTATAGAGAAGATAAATTTTATTAAGATTGTCCATTGTGTTTATTAATACCAATAATTATTTCCTTTTTAATTTTACAATTTAGGTGCAATTTCTTGATTTAATTGTAAAATATAACCATTTAATGAGTTTTTAAAGACTTAA